CGCGAATTTAGAAAAAAAATAGTAAAATTGTTTGGGAATTATAATGTATTTGTTATAATTCATTATGTTTGATTTGAAACTCAGCGTATTTGTATAAAAAGGGTAGCCGGCGGGCAAGTAAGTAATATATTGTAACAATAGTGTCTTCGAGCTTTTATGAATAAAGGATATTTAGTTTGTACAGAAGCACATAGTGAAATCCAAGAGGCATATTTCCTTTCACGTCAAAGTCAACACTCGTTTTCTCATCGGTCAATACTTTTGTTTTTTGTATTTACCGGCGTTGGGCCCCCAAGCGGGTAAAATCCGTAAAAGCACCGCGAGGGGCTGTTTTTCCTAGGCGAGGAGTCTCCGGGATGCGCATCGGATTAAAGACGCCCTCGGTGCGATCGAAGCTCGCGAACGGTCGATTGTAATCCGAATTCCCACGAGGCAGAGCTCGAAGTCAAGACGTCGGAATTTGTGCCGCGGTTCGGCCCACAGTTTATCCCAATAATACTGGTCGTTAAAGATTAACAAAGGCGTGCTAAAGACCAACCGCGTCCCCGGGGAAATACTGCGCGAGCTCAGGACGGTATACTTAAATCTCAGCATGGAAAGGCGTACGTCGACGCGCGACTTACCCCTCGCGGATTAGCTCGGGAAGCTGCGAATGGGCGTCGACGGGTGAACCTCCGGATTCTGGCGTGCTGGATTAAACCGAATTCTGTAATCACCTTGGAGGAAGCTCTAATCGAAGATTAACTGCCCGACCAATGGATTCCAGCAGCAACATTTAAATTTATAATATTCAAAGGAATTGCCTGAAATATATCGAGTCTAGCGCATAGGTCAGAGATTCGGGATATCTTCGAAAAATAGCGAATGATATTCAAAGGACGTAGCAGTTTCAGGGCTTTTAGCGGTGCACGCATCTCGGAAAAGTCACACGTCGCGGGTCCGGAGGGCAGGCCTTCCCAAACTCATTGATACAAGTTCGAGGAAGCGCTCGTGCACCCGCGTTAACAGTCAATCGATTAGTGGCAGCTTATTAGGTCCGAATAATGTGTCGCGCTCTCGAATCTCATTGCTTGCTCGCGCATCAGTGACGACTCACGAAGCTAATTCAACGTTAAATACACTCTAAATCTCTGTCAGCGCGTTTATAGCGCGGGCCTGACTCTTTATGCGCTAACGCACAAAGAAGCCAGCGAGAGTCCTTTTGCGGCTCGTTCCCTGCTCGAGGGGAGCCACTCGAGCGTGAAACGCCCAGCTAAACGGCCTCCGCTTGCTTGGGTAGGAAAGCTCACGCGTACCACCTCCGGGTATCGGTGCGCGTGTGCGCGCAACTGGGATAATAGAAGCCGCGACTAGATACGTAGTCTAGTACATTGGGAAGACGAATAGTGACAAGGGGGTATAGGTGGGAGGGGATGAGGCGGGGGGTAGAGGGCAAGGCCCGAGTCCCATTCGTAAATACATCTGCCCCATTATGTTGGGCGCCCGGCTACTCTGGAGCCATTAATCCTCGCTAAACGACAGCCATTTTGTACCTAAACTGGATTGCCAAGTCACTAACTGCCTGAGAGGACGCCGCCGGAGGGAGAGAGAGAGAGAGAGAGAGAGAGAGAGAGAGAGAGAGAGAGAGAAAGAGAGAGAGACTCTTTAATAGACTATTCTCCGGGGTGCACTTCAGCGGCTCACCTATTTATGCTTCTACTTGCTTACCACGATACGCGATCTCGAGCTTTCGCACGCTTTTCCGCAGCCCCTCTAGATCACACTTCAAAAATATCGCTACCGAAACTTCAGTCATAAAGTAATTGCAGTAATCACAATTAAAAATAAAAAAGATAGAAAAATATTCTCCTGTTCCAAGCATTTACTTTTGCAATATACTCATCTGAAGGTGAAATTAAATTTTTATTATTTCACTTGGAAATTTGTCGATCCCGGCACTTCCAAAGCATCCAGACTCGCTGACAGATGGCTAACTAAAAGGCACAATATACGCATATGTACACTGCACATACTATCAAGGAACAATTTATACCCTTTACACCCTTTTACAAGCTGCTGGTCGAAATAAATTTTAATATTTTAGGCTAATTAATGAAGGACATTCGCTGTCTTCTCCAAACAATAATTGGAAATAAATAAATGATGTAAGCAATGACGTTTAAGCACGTTGGGAAATATTAAAAATAAAAAACAAAAAATATTTATTATGGCAATGAATTAAATAAATTTTAAATATGAAAAAATTAAATAATATCCTGGTTAGATATTCTGTTTCACATCCTAATGTTGGAGTTGTGGGAAAATCGACTTTATAAAACGTGTTTTTTTTCCTTAGAATATAGGAGGAATTATTTGAAAACATTCGAGTAACTAAAGAAATACTCATGAAATATGAACGGGTTCCTTAGATTATAAACATAATCGTCGTTAAGGATACAAACATTTTGAAAATTAAAACGTTTTTACGTATATTGTTTCTCTATATGAACCTCATGTATATATTTACGTATTTTATGTTATTTTTTATTCTACATTAGAAAAGATACGAAAATATTTAAATAAAACAATCACCATAAAAAATATATTCATAAATATTAGTATGAGGAGTAAAAATTTATTTAAATAAAAAAGGAAAATAATTTTGAATTACCGTTATTCATATTTTTCAATATCTCATCATACAACATCAATTAAGATATGAATTTTTCAATTCAGTAAATAAAAAAATGAAAATAATGTTGATGTAAAAAGTTTTGTAAATATTCTTTTCACACAGTCAAACATTATTTAATATTTTAAATCCTCGATATTTTCATAATCGTCAAGATAACTATATTATATTTGGACAATATTAATCGTATTTTATAACAGATTCATTAAGAGTTTGAAATTTTCTAATTCTAAATGTTCGTGTTTTCGAAAAATTTATTGTTCAACTGTATCATCAACGTTGTTTTCTATGATTTCCCCTACAATGAAATGAAAATGATTAAAATGGACAAGATAAAGCTTGATTTTTAAATATATAAAATAAGTTCTAATTATTTTTTTTTTTAATTATATTGATTTAATCAATTGTAATAGGCTATTTTTATAATTAAATATTCTTTGTTTATTTACAGAAACAAATCAAGTAATGTCTCTTACACATATGTGCAGAATTTGAAATTGAAATTCAGCTTGGCCTGAAGGAATAAGGTAGGATAGAGGTAAGAATCGATCTCGGAAGGCTTTGCTCGTAAGAATGATTATTGTTTACAGTGAGGGGCCGGGGATTACGAATCCTTAATAGTGTACGTTCTGAGACCCAGTGACCAGGTTGTCCCTTTCGTAAGGGGAGGGTTAGTGTCAGTGTGTCTACGGGGATATTCTATAAAGAAATGAAAAGTCGCCAACCCTCGGCTCTCTAACCAGATTCTAATAAGCGGCTCGACTCTCCAGCTGCATACCAGCCCGAAATTCGATAATCCGTAATTCTTGTGTCCGAACCCGCAAAAGTTCATCCTCCCAATGGACCTGTTGTCATTTTCATGCCTTCGTCGACTAATCGGATTACTCGAAACCCATCAAAATACGCAGCGCTTTTCCTTTCGAACACTTTTTATATCAGTGCTTTTTATTCGCGGCCTCACGTACCTTCTTCGAATTTCAAGCCTTGTAGAAGATGCTATAAAACATTAATGTTTTCTATCTTTTGTCTTTAGTGTGCATTAATAAAAAAATATTTTATTCACTCTGATGAAATTGTGTATACATTTTTAATAATTTACATCTCAAGGCAGATGACGAGAGGCCAAAATTTGGTATTCTCTGTTTAGGATATTTCATTGTTTGATGAATATTTATATCCTTAAAAACTGAAATTGGTGTTTAGTGTAGTTTTAAAAGATATACGGTGCATTGGATATTTTATTAAAATTTGAAAAATAAAATTAACAAGTTACTTTATCTTATTAATAGTCATAATTAAATTATAAACAATTAAATAACAAGAAATCTCTAAAGTTGAATCAACAAATATATGAAAAACTCATTTTTGTGAAAAAAATTTACCATAACTTTATCTGGATATATACGAACTGCGATAATGTACATCTAATACTCGTTTACCTTAAAATTGACTTCAGACATTTATTTACCTAAAAAAATCATTATTCGTTACATTTCTACAGATTCCAAACACTGATTGTAATTTAAATAATTAAATTTAGATACATCCAATTTGCTAATTTAGTAATTTGTAGTTGTATTTTGTTTTACAGAGTTCTTTATTAATTAATAAGATAAAAAAAAATAACTAATCTCTTAGTTGAAAATAAAATAGACCGGTTCGACAATGATGAATGTTTTAAACAATAGTTTTCGAATGGTATCAGTTTATAAGTCATAGGCGTATAAAAGAAGTGTGTTGACCATCAACTCGAATAAATGAAAACACGCGTTCGTTTATAAATAAAGTCGCACGAATGACGGCGTCGAAGCAGCAGCAAAATGACCGCCTTTGTGCGAAAATCTTCCATCAAAAGCACCAAGGTGAAATGAAGTCGCTCAATGGCGATCATTATAAATCGAATTCGCGACGCTCTCGTCGCTCGCTCCCACAGCCATCCTCGGATATTAATAATCCCCCTTTAGCTTCCTCCACTTGTCTCGCCGCCCCTCCTATACCGCCCCAGTCGCCTAAACATCCATGGACACTATCAATTCAAGCGGACAACGAGGCCGTTCCCAATAGAGCATACTAGCTGCAGGATTGCCAATCAATTCGCGCGCATCGTGCCCGGGAATTAGACAATTAGGAGTCGTCACGTTCCACGAAGCGGTAGCCCCCACTCTACAATCCTACCACCGCGTTCAGGAAGCTCGCGCGAGGTAGGCCCCGCCTCCATTGTATTCAATTGTTTTTCATTGGTCCAAGGCGTCGAGGGGCGGGACGCGTCGCGGCGCCCGCGGGGGCGGTGCCAGTCTCGCGGCGCAGGCTTTCGCTGGCGCGACGCCGAGCCGGCAATCAGTGCCGTTCCCGAGTCAGATCGTGGACGCCGACGTAACGCGGCACCGATTTCTCCCCGTCGGCCGTCACTAGCTCGCGCGCCCGCGCATCCGAAATCACCTTCCGCTCCTCGTGGCGAGCCCCGTAACGCAATCCCGGCTCGCGCCAGGTCGGCGATGTCGCGGCCAGAGTAGGGCCCCCCGCAGAGATGGCCGCTCGGCGGCCGGAGGCCCGCACCCAGTGACGAATATCCACGCGCGACGGCCGCCCGAGTCGGAGATGAGTGCCAGCAGCGAGGCGACACCTGGGCTCGCGCACCAGGAGGCCGGGATCGCGCGTCAACCACAGGAGGAGCCACTCGAGGCCGCGTCGCCACTGCCGCCGGGCCTCAAGCCGCCAAGGCCCGGCAAAATCAGCTTCAGTGTCGATGCGCTTCTCAGTGGTACGCGGAGGACGGTAGCTGAGCCTAATGCTGAAACAAGTCCCCAAGTGCAACCGCTCGAGATCGAACGCTTTCGGGAAATGAGGCTCGAGCAACACCAACAACAACAGCAACAACAGCAGCAGCAGCAGCAACAGCAGCAACAGCAGCAGCAACAGCAGCAACAGCAGCAGCAGCAGCAGCAGCAGCAGCAGCAGCAGACAACCTCGTTTACTCAGCCAATGGTACTCGCACGCGATCTCAGTCGTGGCGCAAGGCTAAACGAACTGCGCCGCGAACTCTTGCAACAACATCTTCGCCAGGAAGAGGATCGACGTTCGACCTCACCGCCTGGGCAACGCGAGTTCGACGAACGCAGCGGTGACTCCGAGGTCTGCAACAGGTCGCCCGAGCCCGCGGACGAACAGCTGCTCGAAGAGGAACAGGATGCGCGTAGCGAGGATCTCAACGTCATGGATTCGGACGATTGTATCGAAACCGAGCAGGAAAAGGCCGAGAGAGGCAAGGAGAAATCAAGCCCTCTGGTACCCCAACCTATTCATCCAGGAGTACAGAGGCCCTCGGGACCTTACATGACTGTCACGGGCGCTGCACCTTCCGGATGGGCCTCTCCTGGCTTTCCGCACTCGCTCGCGAGTTTTGCGTGGTTGCCGCCTCCACCGCACCCACACAATCCCCATGGTCACCTCTACAGCCCCCACGGCGGGCCCACCAGTCCAAACGGTAAGCCCCATTCGCCGACGGTCCACCCTTGCTGCTTCTTACTCCGAAAAAATTAACCGTCGGATGAAAATAGTCAAGTCCTAGTACCTGCAACCTTGTACATTTCATAATAATTTCCCTGTACATAATCAGGCCCGCTTGGATATTCAAAGTAAAGGTTTGCAGGCATCCTCCGTTTTACCGTAATTGGTCGGCCAAGGAAAGTGCACGTACGAACACTCAATGGGCCATACTAATGAGCAACAACGAGGAGTTGTCTCGGTCCTGATTTCTCGATGCTCGACTGCTTTCGGAGAATCGAAGATAGACCACGCATTACCTCGTTGGAGGTGGAGACCGTACAGCTTTCACCTCGTGACCGCTGGTCTCTGCACATGGGCATCCACATATCGGCAGTAGCTTCTCGGAAGGTACCGCCGTGGTGCCGCCGCGTCTCTCCTCGCAATCTTATAATTAACGTTCGCTGCATTTCTTGAATTAGTAGCATATTAGTTCTCTCAGTTCTCTCTCCCTTTCTACTTCTCTCTCTCTCTCTCTCTCTCTCTCTCTCTCTCTGGATTTCCATCTTAACTTCTATATTTATCTTTATCTCTATCGCCGTTTCCATTACCATCTCTACCTCTATCTTTCTCTTCGTCTGTTTTCTACACTCGCTGCGGAAATGGACAGCTGCTTTTCCGCGCCTTTTTCTGCCCCACCCCCCGCCCCCCACCGTATATGCGTGAGAAGGAGCAAGAGCGCAGGAAGCCATGTTTGTCTTCAACGCGGCATTCACTATGAGCATCCAGTCAAACTCGTTCCGAGGATGCCCTAACGAGTGGTACTTACGGCACCTGCGGACACGCCAAAAGAAGGACATTTTTGCCGAGACTCAAGCTGCACGCGCGCCGTAAAGGATACCGATAGTAGCGCATGCGCATGTCTGACAATAAGAGAGACTCTCTCGGTCTTTTTTCCTCACCGCGGATCGACCACGGCGCATTTCCAACGAAGGGACATCCCGTCGTCGCCTTTTTCCGGCTTAGCACTTGGAGCATCATCATCGTATTTGGCTGCACATCTCCAAGAAACTTAGTTTACAACTGCAACGACGAATATACGATACGATTTACGTACGTGGATCGAAAGCCATTGACCAGGATCGACTTAAAGCGCGACGGTATTAAAACTCAGAACATCGATAAGACCAATTTGACAGCATAATTAAATGAAATGAATTGGAATAATTGTGAAACTTCTTGCGTAATTGATCACTTATTTATCCATCTAAATTAACATGTTCGTCAATAGCAAATGATGAATAATAATAAGTTTAAAGTGCTATAAGGTCGAAATCGTGTTCGTGGTTAATAAGAGATGCAGATTTAATGTAATATAATGGACGTTGCGCCTGTGTGTTGCGTTAAATCTTGTAACCTGGACCTTGTATTTCGAAACGGCGATTTGAAAATGATACAATGGCTTGCAATATGGGTCCGGGGACCTTCGTTGGCAATTTCTGCGCATGCGTCCTGTGAAAAACGATCTAGGGAGGACGCTTTATTGACCCGCGAAAAGAGGGTGGAAAACTCGGCTCAGTGCGCTTTAAAGCTACGTCGTTCAGATTAATCACTCTACTGTTTCGACTTGCCTCCATTATCATCGATCGCCCCTCTAACCCGAGTTAGCTCCCCCAATGAAAACCTATTTGGAAATTTTAAATTATTTATTTGATCGTTTATTAACATATCATCAATCAGTTAATAATTGAATAACAGAGAAAATAAGTTTTAATGAAAATGAAATCGCCCGATAACTCGGGTCGGGGTCGGTATAGCACTCATTTCAATTAAAAAACTATTATCCTTATATATGTAAATGATAGCTTCTCGAGATGCTAATCTTGTAAATGTGAAATGATATACCAATGAAAATAATTGCAGTGTCACGTACTGTCATGGCGTTTGCTTCTGCTCCCACGCAGACATTTAAAATTGCGGACCGATTGGCCATTGCTCAGAGCTGCTTTCGGAAATTGAGAGGATGGTGGCAACGTTGGTGTCAAGGTCTTCGCAAGCAAGTCAAATGAACCCTGATCAATTAGCACAGCTCGGACGATGCGTCCAATCCAAACTCGGTCTGAGGAGCTCAGCGCGTTTTTCTCTTGAGCTTCCTGCTCTCGCGCGCTTTACATCACTAGCAAGCGCGCGTAATGAGAGCCGCGACGCTTCTAGGAAAGAAATCTCGGGCCTTTACGGGACCGACGATGTATGAAGTCCAATCAGGGAGCGCTAACCTGCCCCACGGAGCAATACGTGCTGGGAGAGAGCGGATGAAGCTCCGACACGAGTACCGTCTCCCTGTACACGCGCTCCAGTGATGATAGAGTCATACATAACGCGGCCCATACATAATGCAACTGTTGAAATAAAAACTGATTCTTGTTAGTTGGATGACGATTAAGAATATTCCTAAGTGCTTATCGATCTGCAGGCTCTTATGTCCCGTCACTGTAGCTCATGAATCGGACTCTCGACTTATCGCCTAATTTCTCTAGTAATTTTCTGACTTCTAAGGCCTTCATCCCTCTCCATTGAAATTTTATAAATTTAATGTCAAATGTCAAAACTATTTAAGTCAACTGACAATACCATCCAATTACTTTTATTATTACCTTTCTAAATTACGAATCATCTTCTTCTTTCTCTCTTCTATATTAATTTTTTTCCCCACTTCGTATTTTTTCCTTCTCAACGCCATGAATAAATAAACTCGAGATAATGACTGTTAATATGTTGCGGAAATTGTATTTTCTAACCTGTTTTTCTAAATGAAATTACTAGTGAGCAAAAGATGCCAACACTGGATTATTTATGCTTATATAATACTTAGCCAAACAAACTATAATTACTCTCCAAACTAGTATTATTACTATGCAAAATTAAAAAGTGCTTAGATAAATTACCAAAATAATATTGATTATTTTCTATTTTTTAAATTACAAATGGATTAACTAATTTATTATATTATCTACATCTCTGTCATGCTTCACAAACAAATATTACAAAAGTATGTTTGAAAATTAGTTCTTTGCAAATTAAATTAAAAATGTATATTTCGGATAAAAATTTCAAAAAGCATAATTGATATTTAAATATTGATAATAATTGAATATAAAAATTGATAATGCATTCTATTATATGACTATGCAAATTGCTTACATAAAGATGTGTATAGAATTTTAAATGTAAATACGAAAATTCATCTTATTTTAACTGTCTTTACTTTCTCTATGTATAATAAATCAAATCATATAAGAAAAAAAATCAAATAAATTTTTAAATAAATATATACTTATATATATATATTACTGATTTAATTTCATATTTGAATAATAATATTTATTCTCTTTCAGTTTTAATAATGGCATCTCACTTAAAGTAAAGTTATACAATTTACGTTTAGTATATGTTTAGTATATAATTAACGCAATTGTATTCGTTGATATTCTATTAAATGATCTAAATATCGAAATGCATGTGTGCCAATACTATTATAATAAATTGCTATGCATAATTATATTGTCGATTAAAGTTATTTGAATATTAAGATATTCAATGTTCAAATATTCAATAAATTGTTAAATAATGTTGCTGATAAAATTTCATGTTTTCTATAGAAATATCAAATATGTGTATTTGCATTATAAAATTCATGTCATCATAGAATCATACATATATTACTTTTAAATAGTGTTCGAAATTGAAAATTGACAAAATACTAGAAAATACTAGGAATTAAAATAGGCAAATGACTCTCATTTAATAAAATAATAATTTTTTACATATTCTAATAACAATAGAGTAGATATAGTTTTTTTTTGGAAAAAAAACTTGATATAAATTAATGTATTAATGTCAGGTAAAACTATAAATAAAAACATTCTATACAAAAAGTATCCTGCTAAAAAGAGTTGTATAAATAGGTAATATTTCCAAGCTCATTCTAGTATACATGAAATGTTAAAATTGCTTCTACATATTTTTCAATTTTACCTACTCAAACTAGTCGGTTTATTATGAAGGAATCAGTATCATCGAAAAGGAGATTCGAGTAAATAAAATTTTATTAGTTCACCAGCTTGTTTTCAAGAAAAATGTTCGATAATATTTGATTTACATATTTAACTTAACATAGATTAATGTACATTGAATATCTGTATATGTTTGATGGTAGTAGGGAGAACAACGATTGGTTAAATGGTTAAGAAATTATTTAAAATCAATGATTCATCTTTATACGTCAGACGATTAATGATTGTGGAAGGGATGTAAAAAATATATAAAGAAAAGGAAACGAAGAAGAGATAGTGTCTCATTAATTTGTTAATTACTTTGTTCCTCTGCTGTCTCATCGATCACTTTTTTTCGCAAGCTCATTCCTCTAGCAACTGTGTGAACGACAATTCAACAGCTATATGTTGCACCCTATTCTATTCGTTCCAATTAAATACTGTCAATTAATAATTGATTCATATATTAATTATCATTGATTTAGATATCATTTCGCTATTCCCCTCTCGCGTTATTAATTATTATCGCGCATGCCTGACGCAATCACTGCCTCCAACGACAAGTTCTTAATATTACAAAAATAACCGAAACTATGTATAGTAATTTAATAGTACCTCTGTAAACAGGTATAACCAGCTAATTCAAAAAAGCCGAGGGCGATATTATTGACAATTTACTTTTGCGTAATGAGGTATTACCGGTTGAGAATTAGAGGACAGCAGTTAAATAATTAATACGAGAGACAGAGAGAGAGAGAGAGAGAGAGAGAGAGAGAGAGAGAGAGAGAACTCAAGAGGAGAGATAAAAGGGCGGATAGGTAAGGAGTGGGGAAAAGGACTGTCTGTAAATTGAGCGACTAAAGAGCCGCGTTTTTTGCTTGGATATACGTCGTTGTTAATTAGGTTCTCGCGATGGTACGTATCGCGTCTTCTCGTGAGCTCAAGAGATTACGACGTAAATTGTAATTATATCATTGGACTTGACGTGATCGAGGTAATTTGTCAAGCTTTCCTTCATTGAGTTGCTGCAATAATGTAGCCTATATAATCGGCACCTGGAGTTGGAAGCCCCGAAGCTTCGAAGTTCTATTCTTTGTGAAATAATTCTGACAGAACCTTAATAGCGACTATGACTTTCTTTTCCGTTCAATTAATAAATACCGATGATAATAAATACCTAAAGACGAAATTCTTCGTTCGAATGCTTATCTGTCTACTTTTTTTCTATTATAGCTTGTATTTCAATCTTTTTCCAAATGCTTTCGTTTAACATTCTGGGGTCTTCTCAGTGACATTTAAACAATATCAACCAGCGTCAAACTACGTATTATTTGCAGCTAGTTCAAATGCCTATTCTGCATTAGATCTCTGATGATAAAATTAATATACTTTATAGTATTCGAGAGCTTTGTAACGATAAGTTATCTATACTTATGATAAATTAGTAAATACCTACAGGAATATTAAAAAGTACAGCAAATTTCTCATAAAACATTGTAAGGAAATCAAATTAAAGCTTATAAACTCTTGTTAACCAATTCAGTTCAATTTTTATGGATAATTAAAAATTGATAACGTTATACAGCCCATAGAAACTAAAATCATTTATGTCACAACCATAACATAAATTGCCAGACGCGTTTGCATGAGATTAAAAATGGTTGCAGAAGGTATAAAACTTAAAGTACTTACTACTTAAAGTATAAAACATTTAGAAACATGAAAAATAAATTTTGTATTTGTATTTGTATTACTTTAATTAAATGAACTATTAAAAATATTTGTTTATCCAATAATTATTTAACGATGTAGCATTAAAAATATCAAAATACTTAAACTCATTGTAAAATCCGAAATTGAATAGAATATGAAAACAGGAAGACTTCAATAAAAATTAAATTTATTTATAACGCCTAATCTCAGCATAAATAAAAATGTAAAATTGAAGATTTTATTTGTTAGAATTAATGTATATTTATAATTGAAATTATTCTACAATTGATTAAGAGCATCCCTCATGGAGATTTATCGAATATTTTAACAATATTATTTCTCAGCATTGATAATACTATTCAAATATTAACGTTTCACGTGTGATTGTAGTTTTTAATTTCTGCTACTTTAAATATATGCAATGCATAAAAAATAAAGCGATAGTTTTTATCACGAAAGTTTGGTTTTTTCATAATACTACAATTACCGGAAATTTAAGAATTTTCAAAGACCGATGATTAATACCGCTGACAACTTGGTTGTCGGGTCAAATAAGTTACTCTTTCGAATATCACGTATATTTTTTTATTGCGTAAGATTCAGCGATACGGCCACACTCGAGACTAGGCTAGTGTACATCTTTTATTAAACGATAAGACGAGATAGGTTCAACTTTTTAGGACGAGCGATTGGGCGGTCACGTACCAATCATATTTTATGCTAAATAATGAGGCAGTGATTATTTTTCATGATAACAAATCTATTAAAAATTATCAATTTTTTTCGTAACTATAAACAATGATCTTTTTAATTTTTGTTTGAAACACTTAGCCATCGTCATCATAATATGTAAACAACATAGTTATAAATTACAAAATATATATATATATATATATATATATATATAATAAATATATATCTATTTTTAGTATAAGGAAATTTAAGCATTAAATAAAATTTATAATTAAAACCTCTATTCAATAGTTTTAAATAATTGATTGAATAATGTCTGCAATGTATATGATAGTCACTTATTTTTCTAGTATTTCAGCCCAAAGATTTTAAGTAAAAACAATTATTCATGAAACTCAAAGATATTGTTGCATGAAAAAAATAATTATTTATTTTCAATTACCGCAAAGTTGTATTATTATATAAATTTAAATGCCAATATAAATTACCTTTATATCATTATGTTCTTTATATCAAAAGTAAATATGTATTTGAAGTCGTAGATGTAATTATAATGACGTACAATATATTGGACGTAACATGTATATATAATATATATATATATTATTTTCATTTTAATTTACATTGTTTTATGAGAAAAACCAAATATTTTATGGATTAAAATTTCTTTTCAATAAAAATAGTGAAATAAGATGAACTAAAAATTACTAATGTCAAAAATTCGTAGAACGTAACAATTATTGAAAAAAAAACAATGCGATATTTTTTATATAATATTGGATTTTGTGATATTTTATATAGGCGTGTCATATTTTATTGAATAAAGTACGGCAGAATAGACAATCGTGAATGTAGAATTAATGAAGCCGATTAAGCATTAACAAATGAACAATAAAAGAAATTTATTTTTCAGGCGAGCTACGATTGCCAGGTCCAGTTCAGCCTGGACCAGTAAGGTGTACACTACGGAAGCACAAGCCAAATCGAAAGCCTCGCACGCCATTTACCACGCAGCAGCTGCTTTCGCTCGAAAAGAAATTCCGCGAGAAGCAATATTTGACTATTGCCGAGAGAGCTGAGTTTTCATCTTCTCTTCACCTTACGGAGACGCAGGTAAAATATCTTTTATATCGCAACGATTGTCGCTTTAATTAGTCGTTCGTCAATAATATCCAACTAAATTTCCCCGTGATTACGTCTTTCGCATTCGTCGCAGGATGAAATAGCGAAAACAGTGAAAGCAATCATTTTTCTCAATCCCAAAAGGCAATGGTGACGCAGGATGGTATATAATCGAAATAATCTAAAGAATCGCCAAAAAAAAGTTGACAATGACTGAGAACGAGGGTGGGGTAGAAGGCACGTGGCTTTCGGAGCATTTTTTATATTCGAGGAGTTGCGAAGAAAAGTCCACCGTTGCTCGCGTTTCGCGCTTTATAGCCGTAACAATACGCGTTCCCTCGATTTAGATGCACACCGATAAGAGCCACGCCGTTCCTCGAAGGCCCTCGCTTTTTCGCATAATAAAGAGCGCGTGCATTGAGCGCAGTCGCACCTCCGCCCGATGCTGACGCCGGCAGTCGGCAAGTCTCGCGTCCTGAGTGAGGCGTATTGATTTTCGTGGGTCGCCGTGTCTCTGCCCGTGGCTAGATAGATCCGCCTTTCCCAAGGCATATCTCGTCGGTGAAATACGGGGATGGGCGGGAGATGAATTGCCTTCGCATCGCCCTACGGTTATCGAAGCTCCGATGACTAAGACGGCGAGCCATCACCGCGCCTCTGCTTACAGGTGAAGATCTGGTTCCAGAACCGACGCGCTAAGGCGAAGCGCCTCCAGGAGGCCGAGATCGAGAAGCTTAGATTGTCGGCGCGGCCGCTGCTCCACCCAAGTTTTGGCTCGAGCCTCATGTTCTCGGGGGTCGGGCCTCCGGGCAGCCCTGCGGTGCCGCCCTTCATCGCCGCGGCCATGGCCAGGCACACGCATGCGGCCGCTGCCGCGGCCATGTTCATGGCCCCACCCGGACACAGGCCCTAATAAGACGGGGCCCCTTTCGTGGCCCGCGACTGCCCTTCTGACTTGCTCTTGATCCTAGTCCTGGTGCGCGCAGGGTTTTACAGACTATACCGATTACTGGCTCTGGCGATCTGTTGGCATAAGTAAGCTACGATAATACTGTAATAATATGCCAAAATGAAAGGAGCAGAGGGGGAAGGCTCGTGGCAATGTTTGGCGCGTTATTTGTGCAGCGATCACTCTCCTCATCCGCTCAACATTTGAATTACATGATTTTTATTAGCTGTCGTAAAAGTTTAAATTTGGCTAGAAATATTTCTTTTCCCCTCGTTATCGCAAGCTGCAGTATCAAACAGTATCAAATTACTTTTGTAAAAAGTGACCATGAAACGGGATGTACCTCCGTGTGCTCAATTATGACAAAAAAAAAGAAAGAAATAATAATAATAATTATTATTATTATAATAAAAAATAACCAGTTAATTTGCAGTACAGCTTACAATGCAAACATTTATACCTCACTTTTCGTCCTAATGATATACTTCTCTTTAAAGCAATAATGCTCTGTATGTTTATTTTTTTATCCCTCGTCATTGTTTGATAGAAGTTAGATCATACGTATATGGAATGAAAAAATTCTCATTTCCAATAATAGCAAGGCTCGCTTTATATAATTTCAGAAATCCTCAGATTAATAGCTACGTTCAATTTACCTAAATAGTTACATAAAAAATTTAATACAACAAGTGTTTATAGCATGAACACGAAGCATTTACTGCGCCTATACATGAACACTTTAGTCTGTAAATAGTGTAAATAGTTACGTCATTGTGCTCGAACTCGAAGTAATTACGCTCAAATTGAGAAAGTTTATTATTGGTGCAATCAAATTGAACATATATTTTATAAAACATAAACAAAACGTTTTACCATCAATTTGTAATTTTAACGCTAACCGAGTTAAGATCATGCATTACACCATTTTAAGACTGTGAACCGATAGTTTTCAATTGATTCATTAAATAATGAAATACTTCTATCGTTGACGTCTAATGCTCTTCCTTGCAGTCGCTACTTAGCACTTACATTGTTAAAATTTGTAAAAAAACTTTATATTGTAATTGTAATAAACCTCACCTTGCAAGAAATTCCATAATTTCTCACATTTCTTATAAAATTTTCCATAATAAAATAGACAATATTTATACTGTATTATAATTACATCCCACTACATGATGCTATAAAATTTATATCATAAATTGCTTTATATCATAAACGTATATCAAACATAATTATTTATCAAATTACTTTTCAACATTCTACAAAATATTTTCATATTGTTCTTAAAAATTCATCTATACTCATCTAAATAAATATTCTTAATAGACGTTTGTCACTCATGTTTTGATTGCATCAATAAAACATTAACCGGGATTGTTGAAGTGAAATTGGTTAATAAGCATTAACTAATACAGAACTTCTGAATTTTCTCTATTCTGGGCGAAATCTTGCTTTTATTTTCTACGTAAAAATAGACGTTTGAAAATAACAAATTATTTATTAAAGAATGTATATAAAAATTATAAATATAGCACGAAGCATTTATCGAAGCCGAGAATGAGGAGTGTGTAAATAATGTATCTACGCCTAAGACGTTAATTTAATAAAACAAGTGAAATAATTATGTCAAGCGTGTAGAAATTCTGAAGATTATATGATATCACATTGAACGATATCGATTTCTACTGTACCTACAAACTCTGTATAAATGTAACATGATAATTTATCCACCGACTTGCGCTATAGTAAAATAAAAGTGATTTCAATATTTATTTGACTATTTCCAGCTATGATACTCATTCTCCCAATTTATACAAATAATAAATTACATTTTCAATTGTATTTCTCAATATTTTCTGGATTTATTCACACGCTGGTTTTATCGTTTTATGCAAATGTATAAAGTTAATTTTTTTAATTTTCATTGTTTACAGAATAAAAATGATATTTCAATTTTTCATTTAACAATGACACATTATAATCATTTTAATGTTACAGTATTTTGTATATTATTTCCATTACTTAAAACTCAATCGGTCCTAATATAAATGCATTATAATACATAGCAATATATTATAGTATAAATTGAAAAATACAGCGAATAATGTGAAGATCATTTATTTATGTAAAAATAAAATTTAACCTTAAAAAACTAATATAATAATATAACAAGTACTTATTTGAAACACTAATAATATATTTTTCTTGTCCAATTATAAATCACTTTATTTTATAATACTATCTGAATAATGTGGAAATGAAATGCATAATGCGGAAGAAAGGAAATTTTTATCTTTTTGAATTCATTTCATTCTGCTAGACTTTTTGGCTGGAGAAAATTTTGAAAAATAAAATAATCATAAAATATAATTATTATTATAAGTTAAGAAATTTATGTTCTTAGTTTATTTTTATCATTTTACAATTTGTTTCCTCCTGTTATAAATAATATTAAGTATAATTAGAGAATTGGCAACACAATAATTTCACATTTTTTTACGTCATAAGCATTTTCTCTATTAACTGAAATTCATTATTTTTCTGTATCTATGATTATGGTAGATGAAAATGTTCTTTAGGAGAAAGAGTTAGGAAAATAGAGTTGAAAAAGTAATAACAACCAAGAGAAAAAAATTCGAGGAAGCAGAATCGTAAGTTACGGTAATTGTTATCAATTTTGCACAAAGCATTGTCTCTTTGAAGAGATACAAGAGTAATTAAAATTTTTCCGAATGGCCATTGATTTACTTTACTAATTGTTTTTTGTTTTTTTGACATACTTCAATATTTTTCACAAATTTTAGAAATGTTTGCGTGATATTAACATTAAAAAATGTTAACATTAGTATTTAATTATTTGTTTGATATACATATTAACATGTCATTGCTCCTTTTTCACTACGGATTATTTATTTACGTCATTAATTAATTGTGTTTCGTTTATTTACTTTATTTGTTTAGGAGACTTTACTGTCTCCTAATTAAGACGAGTAATTTTTACACGTAATGTTTGCACAAAATAAAATTATTATTTTTATACAACTGGCTTGAAATAAGTTCAACTTTTTAAACGTTAAAAATTTAAATAAACGTTTTTAAGTAGTGCAAAAAGAGGGAAAAAGAGGAAAGGAATATTTCGTTCTTTAGATCATTGTACTATTACGATTGATGTTGAAAAAAGGCGCGAGAAATCAATTTGAAATAGAAATTTGGCGGATAAACTGTAATACATAGAAGGTAATGAATTTGAAAATAATTTAATGGAAATAATCTTGAAAAGGTAGAATATAATAAAGTGGTAAATTCTTGACTCGAATTATTTTATTTATAAATAAAATCTTTAAAAATTGATATCCAAAACTAATTCTGATGACCTCGAATAATGAAATATAATAAATCTTTCTGAGATGTTAAGTGTAATTTAAAAAATTTTACATTCGGAGCGACGAAGGTGTCTGGATACGGAACTAAGACAAATAACTATAAATAAAATTTCCGTGTCTTTTTTTTAGAACTTTTTTGGCAGTATCGGCATTACTAATTATACAAAAAACTGTATCCTAGGGAATCTGCTTGGAAGTATATCGAAGGAGAGTAAAGACAAGAAGAGTGAAAGCTACAACTTTCTGAGAGATAGTCTAGATCGCTAGGAGTTCTGTTCTCAGGACTGGTCGATCAAAGGATGGAGCCGCCAGAGAGCGGAGAAACCGAACAACACGAGCGACCACAGCAAGATCTTCCCGATTACGCACAAAATTCACTTTGCCGCTCGTGCTCCCTCTCAAGTTTCGCTTTGAACAAAGAAAGCGGCGTTGATGATTTCAAGTTCATCATCGGTTCATCACCAGCTTGTCACGAAGCTACGAACACTTTCATACTCAATTGATGGGGTTGATGCCACAATTTTTTTCTACTCGAAAGACCTCTAGTTGGTTTGATAAAAACCCAGACTGAAAGCATTAATCGAGGCGATAGCCATTAATTTCCCGAGATAAGAGTCCGAAAGCTACTTCTAATAGAGTCTCTTACTGACGATGCATGAACTTGGACTCTATGACGCCCTAGTTGTTGTGCTCGGGGATGCGCAGTTGTGCTCACGTATGCTGGAGTATAGAGCGCTACTGACAATTAATTAAAGAATAATTTCTTGCTTAGCGATAGCCGCAACAAGGAAAAGAGGAAAGGGGAGCGTTACGCGGCAGTTGGCGGCCAATTATGCTCAGGTACGCGCACGGAATATATAACAGAGCTCTTCGGCTTGCATCTATTGAAGCAAGAGAGAGAAAGAGAGAAAGAGTGAGATAGAGAGAGAGAGATAGATAGATAGATAGA